ATTAATTGCTAGACCAATGCTTATGAGAACAAAACTTCCCATTTCAATATGGGGTCATGCTATATTGCACGCAGCAGCACTTGTGCGGATAAGGCCCCCAAGTTATCATAAAGTCTCCCCCATTACAATTGGCTTTTGGTAAGGAGCCAAATATTTCCCATCTTAGGATCTTTGGTTGTGCGATATATGTTCCAATTGCTCCACCACAACACACAAAGATAGGTCCTCAAAGAAGGTTGGGGATATATGTTGGATATGAATCTCCTTCTATTATAAAATATCTAGAGCCGATGACTGGAGATTTATTTACGGTAAGATTTTCTGATTGCCATTTTGATGAATCAGTATATCCAACATTAGGGGAAGAAAATAAGCAGCTGAAAAAGAAGATAGACTGGAATGCATTATCACTGTCTCATTTAGATCCTCGAACAAATCAATGTGAACAAGAGGTTCAAAAGATTATTCATTTACAAAATATTGCAAATCAATTGCCAGATGCATTCACTGACCTACCAAGGGTGACTAAGTCACATATTCCAGCTGCTAATGCTCCAATTCGAGTTGATATCCCGACAGGACAATTAATTAAAGCAAATGAGTCTAAGCCATGCTTGAAACGTGGTAGACCAATCGGTTCTAAAGATAAAAATCCTCCAAGAAGAAAAGGAGCAAGTGATCAAAGTGAACATAACACAGAGGTAGTAGCTCAAGAAGAGCCCCAAGACATAGCAAATGATAAGACATTAGGAGAGGTTCAGGTACCTGAAAATAATGAAAATGAAGATATATCAATAAGTTATGTCTCAACCGGGAAAAGATGGAACCGAAATAATATTGTTATCGGTAACATTTTTGCTTATAATGTTGCTGTTGAAATAATGCAACAAGATGAGGATCTTGAACCAAAATCTGTCAATGAATGTAGACAGAGAAATGATTGGCCAAAATAGAAAGACGTTATCCATGCAGAGTTAACTTCACTTGGAAAACGTGAAGTCTTCGGACCCATGGTTCGAACACCTGAAAGCATAAAGCCAGTAGGGTATAAATGGGTTTTTGTGCGAAAACGGAATGATAAAAATGAAGTCGTTAGATATAAAGCACGACTTGTGGCACAAGGGTTTTCCCAAAGGCCTGGAATTGATTATATGGAGACATATTCTCCTGTAGTGGATGCTATCACCTTCAGGTATCTCATAAATATGGCAGTGCAAGAAAAACTTGATATGCATCTAATGGATGTTGTTACAGCCTATTTGTATGGATCATTAGACAACGAAATTTTTATGAAAGTACCTGAGGGATTTAAAGTGCCAGAAGCATATAAAAGTTTTCGAGAAACTTGTTCAATAAAGCTTCAGAAATCTTTATACGGATTGAAACAATCAGGTCGTATGTGGTACAATCGCCTGAGTGAATACCTGTTGAAAGAAGGGTACAAGAATGATCCAATTTGTCCTTGTGTCTTTATAAAAAGGTCTTGATCTGAATTTGTTATAATCGTCGTGTATGTTGATGATTTAAATATCATTGGAACTCTTAGGGAGCTTCCAAAAATAGTAGACTGTTTAAAGAAAGAATTTGAAATGAAAGATCTTGGAAAGACAAAATTTTGTCTTGGTCTACAAATTGAGTATATGAAAGATGGAATATTTGTCCATCAATCAACATACAACGAAAAGATTTTAAAGCGATTCTATATGAATAAAACACATCCATTGAGTACCTCGATGGTTGTGAGATCACCTGATATAAAGAAAGATCCATTCCGACCTCATGAAAATGATGAAGAGCTTCTTGGTGCCGAAGTATCATATCTTAGTGCAATTGTGGCATTAATGTATCTTGCCAATAATTCCCGACCAGATATAGCTTTCTCAGTAAGCTTATTGGCAAGATTTAGTACTTCGCCAGCACAAAGACACTGGAATGGTATTAAACATATATTCAGATACCTCCAAGGGACTATTGATATGAGTTTATTTTATTCAAATGAATCCAAGCCATCATTGATTGGTTATGCAGATGCAGGATATTTGTCTGATCTACACAAAGGTCGATCTCAGACATGCTATTTATTTACAAGTGGAGGTACAACCATATCATGGCGTTCGACAAAACAAACTATGGTTGCTACTTCTTCAAATCATGCAGAGATAATAGCCATTCACGAAGCAAGTCGAGAATGCGTTTGGTTAAGATCTATAACTCAACACATTCAGCAAACATGTGGTCTTTCTTCGAAAGAGAATATTCCAACAATATTGTATGAAGACAATGCTGCATGCATAGCTCAATTGAAAGGAGGATATATCAAAGGAGATAGAACAAAACACATTTCACCGAAATTCTTTTTCACTCATGATCTTCAGAAGAATGGTGAAATAGATGTACAACAAGTTCGTTCAAGTGATAATTTGGCTGATCTGTTCACTAAGGCATTACCAACCTCAATATTTGAAAAGCTGATATATAAGATTGGAATGCGTCGTCTTCGAGACATTAAGTAATTTTTCATCAGGGGGAGTAACTACACGCTGCACTCTTTTCCTTAACTAAGGTTTTGTCCCACTAAGTTTTCCTGGTAAGGTTTTTAATGAGGCAGCAAACAATGCATATTATAAATAACTATGTACATCCCAATATTTTTTTGTAAGTTTTTAATGAGGCACATTATCTTACATGGACATCCAAGAGGGAGTGTTATGAATAGTTTGTATATTGGATACTACTTTGGATACTACATTGGATGCTACATTGGGTGCCTATGTTGTGAATAATTTAAAGATTAAATTTCCTACTTTATGTCCATCATCTTTACTTTTTATGCCTATAAAAGGCCATGTAATTGTAATGGAAAAATACACCAAAGTAAAAGAAGAAAACACTTCTTCCTTCTTTCTATTTTTTCTTATATACATTTTACTGCATTGCTTTTGTTTTATAACAATAATCTGTTAATTTTTTAGAACTTTTGGGAAACTTAAAGGATATTTTAGCTTAAGTGAAATATTATAAGGACGTAGTGAAAGTTGGGGTGAAAGAACAGGGATGATTTTGGTCAAATTCTCAACTGGGGCAACTCCTTTCTCTACTTCCACCGCCGCGCGTTTTTCACGAAGAAAGCTTCGCGCCCAACTGTTTGTATATCAATTGGAAAAAAGCAGCTGTCCGTCGCTGCCGAATTTCGATTCCATTTAAATTTTTCTTCACCACTATGGTAGGTTCTTGTTTCTTATTTTGAATATGTTTGCTTTTTTTTTTTCTTTTGAATTTGGATTGGATTTTCTTCTATTGTAGGTCGGCCAAATTGGAGGCGGTGATGTACTGGTGCTTGCTGAGGATGTTATGGTACCAGTTAGTGTGGTATCCAGTGCAATCAGCATCGTAAGGAAAGAGGGGATTGAGAATTTGAACCCTAATATTATTACTCAAGCTTCATCCCAGAGTAAATTTTCTCAAAAAAAAAAATAAAATCTCCCTTGTGTCGGCTGAACTGATACTTCTCTGCTCTGCTTATGCTGTGACTACGAGTGACTCATTTTGATGAAACTGTTTGCTAGTCTATGTGGTTTTTACTATGTTCTTGGATTCTTTTTTCTAAGTCCTTTGCTATGTTTATTTATTTAATTTATTTATCACTATGTTCATACCTATCAAAAGAAGAAGTTTGTTGCTATGTTTATCGGAGGTTTTATATGCAGAAGATTTTCATTTCAAATTTGTTTTTGGGATTTGATGATGAAAGAGATAAGGTAGGAATTTTCTATAAAGTGGCCAGGTTTATAGATGCCATTAAAGGGCAACACAACACCATAATTTCTTATGGTTTTATAATGGCATAATGATAAGGAGCCTCCAATCACATTCTCAACTCTCAAGCAGTTGGGCTGGCCTTTTGTCTTGTCCAAATAACTTATGTTTAGTTTTTATGGTTATGTTTATATATATATAAAATTTCTCCAGTAGTGCCTCTCTTTGCTAATGCTATGCTTCTATAGCGTTTTGAAGATTATCTTTTTAATTTGATAATGAAAATTGGGTTTTGTGTTAATCTCGACGCATTTCTAAGCTTTTCGTGTTTGACAAGTCTGAGGACTAGTGTTTGTGTTGTATGGGATTTGAGGGCAAACTAGTACACCATAATAGATTGTGGTGCCAATTATTAAGATGTCCTTTTGTCCAGAGACTAATCAGTGTGTTGGAATTGCAATATTATACTGTAAGAATTGTGTCTGTTTTTGTGATGTAGACCAAAAAGATAAAGAGGGACTATATGGATTTTCTTGTGCTGGGTTTTCTTTACTTAGTTTTATAGCATTCAAAGCCCTTGTTTATTTCATATATTAGATTATTAACTCCGAGACAAAGGGAAAAAGCTCTTCTTCACCTTAATGATGTGATGAAAACATGAAATTGGTATGTAAGAGAGAAACGAGACAGATAGATCGCCCTGATCCAATACAGTTCCAATACTTTACTGATCAAAAGGAAAAGACGGAGAGGGGTGTAGGTGTGGGAAACCATCTGCAGATAATAAATTTCCAACTGGGTTAGGATAGAAAGGGAGCTTGTCTTCTTTCTTTTATTGTTCTTTTTCCTTTTCCTTTTCTGTGCTCTCTGCTTAAGTGTTTAATACCCCTCTTTTGTAAGTGCTTGCCTCGTGGCCCTAGATTCTTGTGATATTGAATCTTTTCCCTGTGTTAACCTCTGGTTATTGCAGGCCTGACATCAGTGAAGTCTGCTTCTATGGATATTGTTGCTCTCATCTGTAGGTCCCTCGAGTTTCCTAGTGATAAGTTGTGTGGGGACATTTCAAGAGTGTTGAAGCCAGGTGGAACAGTCCTACTTAGTCTAAGTTCTCAGTTAATCTCGAAGGTTACTGAATCCTTCCTTTGTGCGTATTTTTTCGTGGAAAATTTGTATGCATGTGTGAATTGTCCTTTCCATCTGAATTGCAGGCAAACTCTACCCATGAGCGCACATTATTGTTAGCTGGATTTTCTGATGCACAGTCATCTGAAGCTGGCCAGTCCTTCGTGGTTAGTATTATATCCATGTGCCTTTATTTAGCTTCCTGTCTTCCTCCACCCCCTTCAATACAATGATTCTTTTATCAGAGAACTATTAAGTTCCTTCTTCCATTTTAAATTCTCATAACACCTTTTATATGATGAATTTAAATTGGCATAACACCTATTTCATGGCATGATGACGCTCATTGCTTCATTATTATTTGTGCGACATCAAATTTGCAAGTCTAGGCATTTAGATAAAATTTGAAGTTTATTCAGTTTTCAACTGATCGTCGCACCAATCTCATATGTTGAAGTTATTGAAGGGACCCTTGAAGTTAGTCATTATAGGAACACTTAAATTAAGTCCAGTTTTTTAGGAGTCCTTCAGTTTGGCTATATATGTATGATGGTGTTATATGGATACATGTGAAATTTAGAGACTCTTAGCTTTAGAGAACCCATGTTTGTTTTAAAGATAAATAATTGCGATGGAATGATTTGGACCAAAGAGGATAGACAAACACCCGACTCTCCTACTTGCTTGAGATTGAGACGTAGTTGTTGTAAACAAAACTTGAAGTTATTGATCTTGACTCAAATAAATTGTGCGGTGAATTTAATCTCTGAACAGATAACAGCAAAGAAACCTTCATGGAAGTTTGGTTCATCCTTCTCTATCAAGAAAGTCACAAAAAGTTTGCCGAAAGTTCAGATTGATGATGATTCAGATCTCATTGATGAGGATAGCCTTCTCAGTGAAGAAGATCTGAAGAAACCTCAATTGCCAAGTGGTAATAACGTGCACCAGGATTGCCTCACTCTGACATTATCAGTTTCTCCATTAGTTTTTGAATTCAATTTGATGTACACTTGGTGGTGCAGTTGGTGATTGTGAAGTTGGAAAGACAAGGAAAGCATGCAAAACTTGTACGTGCGGAAGGGCTGAAGCTGAAACAAAGGTGCAACTTGGACCAACGGCGGAGCAGCTGAACAATCCTCAGTCAGCCTGTGGCAGTGTATGTCTCCTTCTATATTGATTTCTGTTATACTAGTTGATTACTCTCGTCTTCCAAAACTACTGTGGAGTGATGGAGAAGCTTCAACAGCTCTACGATACTATTGCCTCTATGTGATTCTTTTGGCCATGAATGGTAAGGTTGTGTTTGGTTTTCATAATAGAAACTGATTATAATATCTGAACTAAGCGATTATTGAATAATTAATTAGAAAATAATGACTTACATGAAAATCTTATGCTGGTATTATTTCTGACAGTGATTCCTCATATAATAACTAAAACCAAATAGAGTTGATGAAACAAATTTGATAGGAATACTGATTAAATAAGATAACAAACCGTGTCATCCTTGTCTAGAATGATCCATGAGAAATTCTATTTCAGATTTTTGACAGAAAAGGAAACACTGACAGCTTGAGTAGGTTCTCCTTTGTTTTTGTATGGTTCATTTGTATTATCGTGAGATAATTTCACTACGACCTGATGGAGCTACTGACCATGATCTAGACTCAAAGGGCCTTCTCTCCATATTTTATGTGAGTAAGGCTAAGTGAGCCCACAAGAAATTCCACGCTGAAACCTTTCTGTAATACTGAAAATTGAGGGACCCCCTCAACAACCGTCGAATATTTTTGGAAGGTCCAGAAATTTTCTTATTTCTATCTTCCTTTTCATTAATCATTTTGGGTGCTTAAGACTTAATTTGATTAGTTACCTTGATGATTTGTCCTCCCATATCCTGATGTTGTGACTTGAAAGGAAACAATTTTGATCATGAAATATTATGGGGCTTTGGCTTTTTATTAACTCTGTTGATTTCAAGTTTCGGCAGCTCATATCTATTGGTGCTTCTGTGGTTCCTGTGTATTTATAACCAGGCCACAGCACATGAATTGGAGCTGATTTACTTCCATACGCTCTTGGCACCTAATCAACCTATAGCTCTCAGTAAATAACACCGGAGAATGTCGAAAACTTTGCAAACAAACTACTTTTAGCAACAGGATTATCTTATGAAGTTGGCATGATATTAGTTTAAATAGAGTAACGTGGAAAATGAAATTCATATAACCGATCCAAACTTATTTGGGACCGAGGTGTAATTGTAGTAGTTGTTGAGGATCATTTTATGAAGCAAGCAGCAGTTTGTGATGATAATTAAGCAGGTCCGCTGAAACGTCAATTTTAGTAAATAATGATGTGGAGACAGCTGTTTATATATGGAAAAAAGGTTGTGAAGAACTGAAGATTGCATTTCCTAACTTTGGCTTCTATTCTAATCAGTCAATGTGTTTGATTTTGTAATTAACTTTACTGCTGCAGCCTCCACGGCCAAAGTTTCTTAGATAAGAGTACTTTTCATGTTTGAAATTTCTGCGAGTGATGCAGTTCTTGAGCGTTAATAAATTTTGGCAAAGCAGAACCGAAGCTCTTAACTGGGGTCGGCCAAGTTTATCCACCAGTCGTTTTTGTTGTTCAGTATTGTTGAAGTGATACAACCTTGAAGCATGCTTTTGAAATTGGTGACTTTTGGTAGAGATAAAACTTTTGGCAAGTTTCTTTTGGAATATGCCATCTTTTGTGCTTTTATCGCTCTGAGGACAGGGCACTGTCTTCTTGCTCATGGAGGATAACCAGGACGTTCCAATTAAAATGCAGCAAATACCTGTATGATCAGAAACGAAAGATCCCAATATCCCTAATCGTTTTAATTCGTGGATTATAAATCCTTGCCATTCCAGAAACTTTTCCCATTTTTATAGTATTGCTTTACTGGTAACGGTATTTGTTATAGCCTTTCCGCCTATTTTCCGTCTCTTACAATGTTGATATTATATTATCTCTTTGGTTGCTGCTGCTAGTAAGGATCTATCATCTCTGTTCGCCTTTTGAACCGAGGGTCTCCCGGAAACAACCTCTCTACTCCTTCGGGGTAGAGGTAAGGTCTGCGTACACTCTACCCTAGTACCCTCCCCAGACCCCACCTGGTGGGATTTTACTTGGTCGTTGTTGTTGCTGTTGTTGTTGTTTGAATGAAAAAATTCTTCTTTCAAAGTATTCAGAATGGTGTTAACTTTTAGCCTTTTAAAAAATTGTTCGGTGGCTATACAAAAGTAAAGAATCTGCTCATTTTTGTGCGGTTTTCTATGAACTTTACTGTCTATATATACTGATAGTTGCCTTTCACTATCTCAATTCAACTCTGAATTTCTAATAAATTTTTGAATAGGTGCATACGCTAGTGTCTTTACTAGTCGTCAAGCTAGTACATCTAATTTGAGTGTATAGGAGGGAGTACTTAAGTTGAGTAGTTTCTGCAGAAAACTGAAAATCTGTTTTCAAGTGCACTGGCATCTACCGATATACTTGTATATTTGGTTGTTGATTGGTGTTATAGTGTGATTTAGCAGACAGCTGGACAACTAGTTGGTTTCTTTCTTTTGATTATTACCTTCATTGATCAGCCTTTGAGTTTTGCAATTAGTCTTCTTGTTAATTGTTTTTTCTGGGACATGTCTTCTATGTTGACAGTGTGGTCTAGGTGATGCTTTCCGTTGCAGTACGTGTCCTTATAAGGGTCTTCCTCCGTTCAAACTAGGCGAAAAGGTACATGGCAAGAACAAGTTATTCCCCTCTATTTTTCTATTTCCTTCTCTGAGATTTCATTATGCAGGAATAAATATACATTTATATATTCCTTACTTACCTAAGGAAAAAGATTGCAGTATACATGAAGATGATGTGTACTGGCATTTTATTGTAATGATGCCAGTATTTATGGTGAACATGAAAGTGAAACCTTTTGATTAGTGACCAAAATCTGATTGCCTCTTTGAAGCTTTTATCTCACCAATCATTTGCTTATGGAAATAATGCATTTAGATTACAAGCAACGAAGTTGTGATTCTGCTCTTTGTTAAAATCCTGAATAAGAGGAGGGTAATATGAACTGGTTTATGATTGGCATCTAAAGTATTCTTTCTTCGTAAAAAAAAATAAAAAATTCTAGAAGTTCTGATTTGTGTTACTTTGCTTTGATTGGATCTCACGTGTGGCTCTCTTAAAATATGAACAGACCCAGTTGACCTGTTTAAAACCGATGGTGGATCCTAAATATAGGACTATATTTATGTAAGGCTTTGAAGTGATACCGGTTGTTAAATCTCATTGGGTTTTGCTTGTTGGTGGTTAAGAATAATAACTTATGTCTCATCGTCGTCACTACCATGTAAAGAAAAAGTTCTTTTGAGGATTTAAAAAGTTCTCTTGGTATTGAGTTTTGAATAAAATTCCAATATACATTATAAAAAAGAAGGATTTAAAAAATCAAAGCCAGATTGTCTAATTATCCTGGAGGAGAGCGAATCTTATTGTCACAACCAGATTTGTTTATTGCACATAGTTGGGGCCTTGGGCATCTGACTGATGCTACTGATGATTTGGTTGCTTGATTTTTTTGTTTTTGTTTTTTGTGAAATGGGAAACCATTTAGTCCAACGCGATCAGTTATGGCTGTTGCACTTGATGTTGTTCTTCACTGAGCAGCATAATGATTCCTGGGGAGCCCTAGTCTCTGGTTGATTTCATTATTATATTCTTGTTTGCATTGTGATGTGTGATAAATTCCAATTGAGTATGACACCTCTCTCACTGCTTTGGCAGGTTACGCTTTCTGGGAATTTTCTTGATGCTGACATCTAATTGCAGATGATAATAATCGATATGAGATTGCAGAAATAGTTATAATTAGTTCAAAATTAGTTTGTTCATTTTGGTTGAGGTGAAATAAGTGAATGTGTAATATGGATTCTTGAAGAAGTGAGGGAAATAGCAGTGGAGTGGACTGTGAACTCCTGTAAGACTTCTAAGAGCTTTTAGAAGAGACTTGGATTTATATGACAGAATATAAAGGTCCCTCTCTCTCTCACACCCCTTGCTCTGGTATCTTGTGTATATGATCATTTGGTGTTTGTTGCTCCATTCTGCGTGACAGTATTTTTTTTATTTTTTATTTTTAAATAACTTTGGGTAGCCTTATCCCTCTATTTTTAACGCAACCAATAGTTTTCGAAATTTCACCAGATTGCATGTGTTCTTGAGTTTGATAGCGGATGGTCCATGCTCGTTTTCTAGTGCTTAGTACGGAGACTTATAAAGATAAATGTTCCATTATGCTTGAATGCAATTTACTAAACGACTGGACGTGAAAGTTAAAATGTCAGAAAGGGGTAGTCAATAGAGTAAATTTTATTTTACTTTCTTAAAGGCAAATAATCCACCTTTTGAATGAGACTGATAACTTCCTTGAGCAACGCTTCCCCGTTGGTTTAGGTAACAACAACAACCATCTAGTTAAATCTCACTAGTGGGGTTTAGGGAGGGTTGTGTGTATGTAGATGTTACCCTTACCCAAGGGGGTAGTGAGGCTATCTCCGACAGACACGTTGGTTTAGGTAAGAGAACTCTATTCAGAATGAAATTTCTTTGAACATTTTACGCCGAGCGAATAGGGACCCCAAGGCTAAAGCGGAAAAAAGCCTAGAAGTGAGGCTTCGAGTTGTAACTTTTTGTTGTTGTTGGATTGAATTAATTTTGATTCATCGACATCAATTTATGTAGAGAATACCTTGAATTGGACAGTTGAAGAATTGGAAATCACTTCGCACTATTTGGTATGCAAAATCATAAAACATTTTCAAAATGAAACTGGAAAATTCTTAGGGCTATTATAAAAGATTGTAAATACATGCTAAAAGCCAACAAGGTCACTATTAAACTAAACATACTTGGATGGCAGCAAACCAACATGAAAATTTTCGAGCAAATGAACGTCAAAAACATGAAGAAAATTGAGATTTTTGCTAATAGGAAGATACGCTAAAAAAATGGAGTTTCTTCTAATTAAGCCGTGTAGCTTATGAAAGAGTTTAAGAAATTTATTGTCTTTTTCGCAATATACCCAGTATAATCTCACATAGTGGGGTCTGGGGAGGGTGGTGTGGACACAGACCTTACCCCTACCTTGTAGAGGTAGAGATGCATGTTTCCAATAGACCCTCAGCCCAGGAAAGCATAAGCAACATGATAATAAAAAGAAAAACAAGACGGGACAACACCGAAAAGCCATGTAAAAACAACATAAATAACAAGATAGTAAAATGATCGAAATGCAAAAAATGACAGGTAGTCAAAGAAACATAATACCAATCAAACACGAGAGTACGTACTAATACTACCGGTATGAATAATCTAGACTACCTAACCTACTACCCTAATCCTCGACCTCCACACCTTCCTATCAAGGGCATGTCCTCGGTCAGTTGTAGTTGTGCCATGTCATGCATAATCACCTCACCCCAACTCTTCTTTGGCCTACCTCTACCTCTCCTAATGCCCCCCAATGTCAACCCCACACCTCTTTACCTGGGCGTCTTGCTTCCCGCATCTTGTCCTCAATAAGGGTCACACCCATCTTGTCCTAAATAACTCAATTTCCTAATCCTATCTAACCTAGTATGTCCGCACATCCAGCTCAACATCCTCATCTCTGCTACCATCATCTTTTGGACATGAGAGCTTTTGACTGGCCAACACTCAACCCCATACAAAATAGCCAGTCTGATCACCGCTCTATAACACATACCTTTAAGTTTTTGTGGTACCTTCTTGTCACACAAAACACCGGAAGCAAGTCTCCATTCCCTCCATCCCGCCCCAATACGATGTGTAACATCTTCGTCAATCTCCACATCCCCTGTATAATAGACCCAAGGTACTTAAAACTTTCCCTCCTAGGGATGACTTGTGAATCCAACCTCACATCTCCTTCCACTCCCTGAGTTGCACCACTAAACTTACCCTCTGAAAAAATTTAAGTGTCAATTTCCTTTAATAGCCAAAGGGTTAATATGCAAAGATCAGCGTTTGAAGCAAAGATCTTTTATTACTCAATACAGTATTTTACAGACATGATCCATTTCATCCAAACTAAAGAAAAGCCCTTCATATGAACAAGAAGAAAATAAAAGCTTGCCAAAAATGATGCAAGACACTAAAGAATATGACTACAAAAAGAATAATAACAACAATAAGTCTATCAGACCTGACCAAAACCATGAACATTTATCGTCCATCTGAAGGTGCACTATGGTTATGCTTCTTCCATGCAATTTAGTTCCAACTCCAGTTTAAGCACCCACTATCATAGCCGACAATCTATACATATGCCTGCACTTCACAAAGCTCTGCAACGGAAAAAAATCAATCTGCAAACACTGTTGTTCAGCAAATTCCAATAAACGCAGGGTTCTTGCTGCACTTCAATTTGAACTAGCGGGGCAAAATTTCAGCTACACGATCTTGTGCATCAGCTGGAATTTCCCTACCCGGGACCTGGACCTTTAGAAGATCAGAGTACCTGAAGAGAAGATATTGAATGTCATTCTTATCACCACTTGTAGCCCAATTGTCACATCTATTAACCGCACTAACATCAATATACTTACTCTGCAAATGTAAACAGGTTCTCATGCTCCGCGATAAATGCAAGTAGGGCCTGAGAAAAGGAATTCAATGGTTACACACATGATACAACTAAATATCAGAAGCATGACATAAAATTAAACGACGTGAACTTCCAGACTTAATTACCTCAAATGGCATGTTCAACAGCTCATAGTACGTTCTAACACGATCTAATCTCAACTGCACAGCCTCACCGTCTATCGAAGGAATAGCAGCCAGAGCCTACACCACTTGGAAGAAAACTATTAGCTATGCTGTGGGGGAAAATAATAACGCAAGCATTGGAGCTAGAAGGAAAAACGAAAATTAAGTAGAATCATTGAGTAGACAGATAATAGCACATTGGTTTCCTTGAGGTGTTAATTCAGAGATCAAATTAATTGAATTGCATTTAGCTCAATAAATGGAAGCAATATAAAGAAATCCTTTCAAGGAAAGAGAAACCACCTGTTCCAGTGCAATGGAATTACGGCATATTTGCTGAACTCCAAACAGGTTGATAGATTTCAAATCAGCCAAAGCCTAAGAGGTGATAAAAGAGAAGAATAAGGTGGGAGGTGGTAAGAAATTCAGTTGAGTATTAGAATTTTTTCAACAGAACAGCTCTATGCAGACCTTGATTGATGCATTTGAAGCAACACTACATATACCACCGAATATGTAGTTCCGCCTTGATCCTGCAATGAAGGGTGCCATTTCCTCATCCCGGCGTGTTATCTGGATTACAGAAACCAGAGTAAAACATAGATATACTAAAAGTGTAGGTTCTTCAACTTTTATCTAATAAGAGTGAAGAATTAAATAGAATAGGACAAAAAAATTCAATCGGTCGATAACAAACCCAAAAAGATGCAATTGGAAGAAAGAAAACCAATGAATTAACCCTGAACGAGTAATATGCAAAAGCAAAAATATAAGCGTTTGTCATCTAGCTTCAATGGTTTCTCAAATCTTCTGGAGAAAGCTACACAACAAACACAGCGAGATGATTTTCCTCCTCTCCAGTCCATGCCATCCACATCTCTGAACGACTTTTACGTATTTGTTCTAAAGACCACATGAGGCCATTCCAGAAGGAAAGTTATAAGTCAATTGGCCAAATGGCAGTACCATTTTTATATACTCAAGTTCTCTAAGTTCATACCAACTAAGCTGGTCCCCGAAGCCTAAGTTACTCGTCAAGTGCTTAGAATGTTTCACACATTGTTATAAAACTTTATCTTCTAAGTGATTTTCTAATAAATTTCCGTATATTTCTTTAGAATTAATATCACCAATGGGGCACCGAGGAGGTATGAAACCCTGTAATGATGTCGGGATACAAAATAAAATACAAGAAACATGATATTGTTGTGCTACCCTTCCAAGAGAAAATCAACATACAAGTTTAGCTATCATGTGATAGACCACAACAAAATACTAGCACAAGGAGACTTTGTAAAGGGTAAGGAAAGAGATCTTTACGAGGAAATGGTAGGAAAATTATAATAAGCAAAGACCGAAGAAATATTTACCAGGTTAGTTAACGAAATTATATAATCATCCGGCTCCTCTGCATCTTGATCATCCAGGTATTCCTTGCTCGTCATTTCCTGTAAAGAGTTGTTCACCACTGTTGGTTGTAACCTCTTCCACAAAGTTAATGGAATTCACCACACATGCCACAAACCTGCAGATGAAAAATAGTCTCCAATTGCATCTCCACACGAAGAACCTTGAGGCAATCAATTGCAAGTTTCTTATATTCTTCAGCGAAAGATGTCAAATCCTTAGGAGGTGTACTGCTTGTTCTAGAATGCTTTGGAGCTTTCTGCTTCTCATTTTCTTCTACCTGATTTGATGTGCTAGGGCAAATCTTCCCAAGCCTGTAATTTGCATCAGAACTAGGCTTACTAGCAATAAAAAGGTATTCCAAGTTCAAACAGAAAATTTCATTATATTCAATCAACAATCAATGTCAAAGCTTCCCCTAAATGAAAAATGATGCATTTAGCCAACAACCTTGGGGAGGGGAAAGAGCTTGTGAGGGGAAGAGGAGGCAGACGCAGCAATTTTAAGGGTACCAGTATCTCAGATGTGTCTATGTTTTCAAGACAACTTTTCTTTTTCCTCTTCTCTAGAAAACCTTTTTCTTCCTTTCAGTAAGAGAAATCCTTCCTATTGTCACACAAATAAGACGTGTGGTCAAATTAAAAATTATAGATCATTCTACGAATTAAAACTCTAAACGGACGGGTCCAAAATTGATAAAAACATAAAAATAAATTTGAAAAGATGAGATGTCGGTTAGGAGTATCAAAGTAAGACGCCAAAGAGTTGTCACTGCTGATTGGTAATGACAAATGATAGGCAAATATGCGGCAGGTATTGTGCGGTCTAACTAAATTAGTGTACCATAACCAA